GGGGGGCAATTAATGGGGGGTCAGAGCCTGGAGGCACTTGGGGGGGTTCAACTGGGAGCACAGAGACAACTGGGGGTGGGCAGCTCACTGGAACCCTGAAGGCAACTGGAAGCTAGACACGGGGTTTAACTGGGAGACCAGAGATCCTGGAGCAGGGGGTTCACTGGGACCCTGCAGGCACCTTGGTGAGGGTTTAACTGGGACCCTGAGGCACCTGAGAGGGACTGAGACCCTGAGGCACCTGAGAGGGACTAACTGGAACCCTGAAGCACCTGAGAGGGACTAACTGGGACCCTGAGGCCCCTGAAAGGAACTAACTGGGACCCTGAGGCACCTGAGAGGAATTAACTGGGAACCTGAGGCACCTGAGAGGGTTTAACTGGGACCATGAGACCTCTGAGAGGGACTAACTGGGGCCGTGAGGCACCTGAGAGGAACTAACTGGGACCCTGAAGCACCTGAGAGGAACTTACTGGGACCATGAGGAACCTGAGAGGGACTAACTGGGGCCATGAGGCACCTGAGAGGGACTGAGACCCTGAGGCACCTGAGAGGGACTAACTGGGACCATGAGGCACCTGAGAGGAACTAACTGGGGCCATGAGGCACCTGAGAGGGACTGAGACCCTGAGGCACCTGAGAGGGACTAACTGGGACCCTGGATGAACCTGAGAGGGACTAACTGGGGCCATGAGGCACCTGAGAGGGACTGAGGAGGGACTAACTGGGGCCATGAGGCACCTGGGCCATGAGGCACCTGAGAGGAACTAACTGGGGCCATGTGGCCCCTGAGAGGAATTAACTGGGACCCTAAGGCACCTGAGAGGGACTAACTGGGACCCTGAGACCCCTGAGAGTGACTAACTGGGACCATGAAGCACTGGAGAGGAACTAACTGGGACCCTGGATGAATCAGAGAGGGACTGAGACCCTGAGGCACCTGAGAGGGACTAACAGGGACCCTGAGGCACCTGAGAGGCAATAACTGGGACCCTGGATAAACCTGAGAGGGACTAACTGGAACCCTGAGGCACCTGAGATGGACTAACTGGGGCCATGAGGCACCTGAGAGGGACTGGGAGCCTGACACACCTGAGAGGGACTAAGTGGGACCCTGGATGAACCTGAGAGGAACTACCAGGGACCCTGAGGGGGGTGACCTGGCGGGGGGACGATGTCCCACCTGTGCCAGCCTCGGAGAGGCCGTTCCTGACGGCCAGGGCGGGTCCCCGG